AGCAAGCTTCTGAGACTGCTTGGTTCATTTATCAGGTATTATTATCTCTTGGGGGATCTTCAATTCTGCATGCAAGTGCTTGTAGATGACCTTTTATTGTTCAATTTGTGGTCATTGATGATAACAGACATTGCAAGACTGTGAGGTTGCTTTGTCACCATTTAAAGAAAGGTTAGCTAAGAGTGGCAAGAAGCCTGTTCAGTTTGCTGGTGAGGCTCAAACATGCATCACTAAGCTGCAAGAAGAGTTCAATGATAAATTGTCCGACGATTTGAACACGTCACAGTTAGTAACTGGGAGGAAGTTCAATGAAGCCTTGAAGTACATAGCTCTTAATCTGAAACCCCTAAAGGTAACATTCCTTGTTCCAGCCATCTCTCTTTTTTATTTTCTGGTTTCTTCATCATTCCATTAACGCACCACCTGCTCCTCCATTTTGTAAATTGGCAGAAGCAAAAGCAGATGTCACCATTAGTTCACTCCATTGCTGCAGTTGGTAGAGAAGTTGAGTCGGTTCTGAGAATTCTTGGCTTGCTGCCTACTTGCAGTTACGATGAGGTTGGTTTGCCGGAAGATTGATTTCCTTCAATCGTTTTACTGAAATTGAGAAATTTTGGATCTTCTAGCCAGCTGAGGTTGACCAACTGACATGGTATACAGGTTTTGGAGCAGCTTAGAGAGAGGGCATTGGTAAGGGCAGGGCTAAAGGCAGAAGATGTGGTACGGTTGATCGAGGAAAGAACCACTGCGAGGAAAAATGAGAAGTTTGGAATAAGTGATAAAATCAGAGCTGATTTCGCAGCAAAGGGAATCGCACTGATGGATGAGGGGAGGGAAACCGTTTGGAAGCCATGTGTTCCCGTTGTGCAAGGCAAATGGGTTAGGTTCGTGGGTTGGATTCGCGCATCAGTGGATTCATGGATTGGATTTAAATGGATTTATCGGTTTATTGGTTGGTTTAGACGGGTTACTGGGTTGGTGGATCATTCTACATCCATGAAGAAGCAGTCATAAGAGTTGCAGCCGCGGTAGCTTTGGAAGAGCAGGTCAGTATAGTTATTTTTTGTTTATCTTTTAACTTCTGAAAATTGTTAGTTTGAAAGGGTTACTACCATAGTGAAGAAAATTGTTCTTCTAGTTGTTCTAGTACACAGCGAAGTGATTTTTCTTGTGAGATTTCTACCACAGTATTTGTGAAACCGTGTTGTACTCTTCTTTCCATAAAAAATAGGTAAATGCAATTTAATATCCAAACCTTTCATTTTAAACAAAATAATAGCCAAACCTTTTCGAAAACAATCTAATATCCAAATCGTCAACTTTCCATTCGTTTGACCGTTAGTTGACACTTCAAAAAAGTTCGAAGTACGACGCTTCATCAATATCCATCGATATCTTCTCTGAAAAACCACCAACATATCGTGGTTCCAAACCCGAGAAGTCCATGACTCCACCATGATGGTATAGAATATCTAAATATTCAGCATCTGCAATGCCAAAACAAGAAAACAAAGTTGTATTGTGACAATTTCCCCTAAACAAAGCTTTTTTGAAGTGTCAACCAACGGTCAAACGGACGGAAAGTTGACAATTTGGATATTATATTGTTTTCGAGAAGGTTTGGCTATTATATTGTTTAAAATAAAAGATTTGGATATTAAATTGTATTTACCTTAAAAAAAGTCCGAAATAAATTTCTTTGCAAGTGCACGAGTTTTCAAATATGTAGGGTAGGCTTGGCCACTTCCTTTTTAGTTTCCTTGTAAATCAAAACAACAAGAAAGATAGAAAGCAGATCCAAAGTGTGAGGCCACCGAAGGGAAGGGAGGAAAGAAGAGTGAAAGGGATCGGGAAGAAAGCTACCCCTTCTTGTTAAGTAAAGCAGCCAATCTAATCTGATCTATCTGCATTCATATAACAAGGTCGCTGTTGGAAAGCAAAGAAGTCTAAGCAACCAATCAAATCTGCCTTTCGTGGTTAATTGACAATATATGTGTATTATTTAGTTTCGATACAAGGCTCATTTCTCCATCATGTTTAGGAATAAATGGTATGTCTTACTCTTAGGTTACATCTGTTTCAAGATTTTTTCTCCTTTGCTTTTTCGTGCAAAGATGAACAAAGGAATTTATAAGAATTATCGTGTGAAGTTGCTCTCTTATTCCGTAATTTAGGGTCTACTGAAGCTAAAAGAAGGGTAAATGCCATATTTGGTCACTGGAATTATTAAATCGTGTTATGTTTAGTTACTAGAAGAAATTAATATAAATTTTGGTCATTCGAATTACTAAAACATGTCACATTTAATCACTCTCCCGCTAGCCTCCGTCCACTCTGGTCACTCGAATTACTCTTTTTTTTATGAATGTCATTCGAATTACTGAAATCATCCGAGTGACATGTTTTAGCAATTCGAGTGACCAAAATTGATATTAATTTTTTCTAGTGACTAAACATGGCATGATTTAGTAATCTCAATGACCAAATGTGGCATTTACCCTTAAAAAAAGGTCTTTCTCCATCATTCTTACCAGTAAATGGTGTGGTTTTACTTGGGTTACATCCGCTTCAAGAGTTTTTCTCCTTATGTTTAACGTATGACGACATGGTGTATCTTTGTTGATGGGAACAAACGAATTTATATCAATCATTGTATGAAATTGTTCTCTTGTTATATGATCTAGTCTATTGTAACTAAAGGATTAGTCATAATTTGAAGAAAGAGAATCATTCCAGACCACCAATTCTAGTAAAAAAATGTTTTTTTTTTCCTATTTAAGACAGTACCGATTGTCTGATTTCTCATTTTCCAAAAACAATATATGAATTTATTTTCCACTCTTGTTTCTAAAATGAGACAAAATTAGAGAACTTAATGTGTCTGATTTAGTTTCTGACTCCTAATTATAATTGTGTTAGAGCATGTGACACTTTATCCTAAGTCATAAAAAGAAATATTATGGCCCACCTACATATACATAAACCTAAACCTACGTGAAGTCATATTAGGTTTAGCCCATGTAGTTTGGAAATTCTCCTCCTTCTGTTCTGACCTAGGATGCCTTTTTAAAGGAGCTAATAACAAAGATGGGGATGGGTACAAGAACTATGAAACATGCATGCACCAACATACCTACTACTATAGTCTATACATACATCAAAAATGGATGCTTTAATAATTTGGGGCGGCAGATAGGAAAACTCTTTACTACAATGTAGTTGTTTAGTGTTTCATTTAGTGCAGTTCTGCGTACTATCAACTTAGTTGTCCGTAAAGTGGCATGTAAAGTTTTGTTATTATCCTCTTTTAAATTCTTTTAATTTTGTAGGATAAGTGATGTTTTGGGTAAGTTTCGGTAGAGGTTTCTAATTATTTTTTCTCTTGTAATTTTTTTGAGAGACAAAAAACGAAATTGTTCAGATTTCAGGGTCCGCTGACAGATTTTGGTTGTGCAATAACATGCATACATGTTGCCATTCACATCCCACACCTCACATCTGTCATGTGTTCTTTCTAAACCCTAATTGTCAAAACTTCATTAATATATCAGTTCCTTATAATGCACAAGTACTCCTCATCATTCGTTATATTCTCAACCGAATTCCATGCATGTGGAGTGTAATACTCAACATATGTGTACCTATCATCATAATTCTTAAACAAGGTTAGGTATATCATGTTTGACTGTTTGTCTGTTTTGCAGTTTGAAAAACATAGATTCATAGTTTTTCTAATAGGGGATAGAATACAATGGGGCAAAGGATGAATGAACCATTGTTAAACATAATTAGCATTTGTCTGCATGACTGGCATCATAAATACACTGCTTAGTACTTGTTTTCTGTCATTTTAATTTTACTATAATTTGGATAAATTAATTATCTTAGATAAATCTTTTCTTTTTCTTCTTTAAAGATGAATATTTATGAAATCTATTTTAATTCATTGATTGTATTACACTTAAACTACCACGTGATATATATTACCAAGTACAAGTTATCGAATTTTCTTATATTTTTCGATAAGAAATTAAAATTATTGAAATAAATTGATCATTACCCGTATGAATTAGATAAATCCTACTTTCCATAGAATTAATTCAAATTAAACACAAATAAAGCTCCATTTTCTGTTCTTTCTTGTCTTTTGGGTAGGAAGCTCCAATTTTTCTAATCAGGGAAAGAATTTTTGGCAAGCATGTGAGGACTTGGACCCACATGAATTGTTGAAAAAATCTAATAAGTTTACTTATTATTAATGATTAAAATTTGGTTAATCTAGCTACAATCTATACCTTTGACAATTGACATAAAGGTGACAAACATGGCCTCCAAACGAATCTTCCTACCACCTCCACCTATATCTTATTTGCATCATGGGATGGACCAAATTTAAAAGGGTTAGTTGGAGATTTGGGAGACTTGCTACTCCATATGAAATTGCATTGAGACCTTAGCTTTCAAACAGTAAACCGTTCTGAATTATTAATCATAGAAAAAAACATGTTTTCCTGTCTCCCTTTGATTCTCCCTAACTAAGAAAATGTGCATACTTTCCTTTTTGTCTTTTCCCTAACAGCAACATCGTGAGTCACGACATTTGGAGCCATGAAGGGAGGAGTTGGAAACAGAGAAGATCAAGAAGAGGCAATATCATCACTAAGCCAACTACAATATGATACCCATATTTCAACAAAGTCGCCCTCCTTTTGACCTATCGAAGACTTAAAATGGCTATTGCTTGCTTTCATTATGTTCATTTGTTCTTCAGTGATTTTCTAGCAAATTAATTACGAAATTAAGTGAGAAATTATAGAAAGATCAATAAATATATCAATACTGAAAATGAATCACGGATTCCATCAAGATAAATAAATATTAATTGGAGAAATGTACAAGATCATCGGAGTCTAAATGATGAACATCCAAAGTCATATATTCCTACAGCAAATACAAATACAAAAAAAAAATATATGTATAACCAAGAGCAAAAAAGGAGATCATGGGCCAGCTGGAGCCAGACTGAGATGCAAGTCCAAGCCCAACGAGTCGTCAAAACTGGGCCCACCTTCTCCTCTCGAGAATCTGCTAAGCGAGGTCGGCCCATCCGGACTGTGGTGGGACCCGCCCATCCCTTGCAGGGCTGGCCCACCCAACAATCCCAATTCCCCAACGGCGCCACCACCACCACCGTACAAAAATCCCCCCGCGCCTCTCCCACCACCGCCGCCGCCGCCGCTCCCCCCGGCCATCCCTCCACCACTGAACACGGCGCCATGGGAGACCCCGAACGGCGGCGCGGTACGGGGCAAATAAACCCAAGACGGAGGACCAATTAGGGATCCAGCGCCGCTGGCTGGAGGAGAAGGGAGGAGATGCGGCGGCGGAGCGAAGGCGGAGCACATGGGATTCCTGATCATGCCGCCGGCAAACGAGACGGCGGCAGCCGCGGCCGCCGCTGCGTTGCGTGTGGCTTGCAACTGGGCCCGCTTCAGCTGCTGGCGCTCCTTCTTGTGGGCGTTCTGGTGTCCCCCTAGAGCCTGGGAATTGGCGAACTCCCTGCAGCAGTACTGGCACTCGTACTTCCTGCCGTTCCCGCCGCCGTCTGCCGCCGTCGGCGGCGGAGCTGGTGGGCCCGATGTGGAAGAAGTGAAACAGCTGGATTCCAGTGATTCAGCTGCGGCGTTGATTTGGTGCCGGTGATGGTGGTCCTCATCGTAATAGCTGTTGTAATTATGATTATAATCATAATCTTCTGAGTAGTTGGATGAGGAGACGTTGAAGCCGAAGAGCTTCAGCCGTGGGGAAGCGGAGGATGACGACGACGTGTCGGGCTTTTGGTAGTTTTGAAGCTCCATTTCTTCCATGAATCGATTCCAACTCACAACTTGTGAACAGAGTAACGATGAAGTTAACTGTACAGTGTAGGGAAATTTAGTTGGTTAGAGAGAGAGAGAGAGAGAGAGAGAGAGAGAGAGAGAGGTGGGCAGTAAGTAAGTAGAAGAGGTGGGTTGGAGGAGTTGGAGTATGTATATATAATATATAGCAAATGGATTAACAAGAAAAGAAAGAGGGAATTTGGAAAGCTCAAAGCAGGGGAGGAGAAGAGGGAGTGATGGAGGGTAATGTTTGTCTATAGTGGATAAACAGAAAGTGAAAAAGGGCTAGCGGACTTATTGTATGTAGCGAGTTAATTACATGGAAACAAAAAAATAGTGAAATGGTCTTAACTCTTAATGGACAGTGTCAGTATGACAGCTACAAAGTATGTTTTTTTTTGTCGAAAGTGTGAGGGTTGAATTTAGGGATGGCAATGGGTCAGGTTGGGTCGGGTTTTGCCAAATTCAAATCCATGGGTTTATCCGTGAAAAAAATCCGGGGTAAAATCCATTGGGTTTGAAAAACTCAAACCCAACCCAACCCGTTGGGTATTCGCGGGTTCATGAGTACCCACGGGTTTTTGTCGTAAAAAATTTACAATAACAAGTTCCTATCAAAATTAAAGTCAAATCTCAATCTCTCAATACAAATTATCCATATATAAAACATCATTCTAAAAATTCAAGCAAATCACAAATTAACTATACAAATTGTTCAACACCAATCTAGAAGACTCAAGAAAATTGAAGCAAATCACAAATTATCCATAAATAACATGATTAATTGAAAGCTTCTTCCTTTCAATTAAGTTTCCCCACTCTCCACTCGATAACATCAACTTCATTCTAAACAATTAGATTGAAAAAACTAGACATTTCTTCACAAACATAAATAAGATTAGTTGTTTAGAATATTAAATATATCAAGAAAATTAATTATATGGGTGTGGGCGGGTACCCATGGGGCGGGTTTACCTAAACCCAAACCCAACCCGATTAATAGTGAACGGATTCAAACCCAAACCCGACCCAAAACCCGTCAACACAAATTTTACCCGCGTTGACCTGGTTGGATCGGGTGGGTACCCGTGGGTTCGGGTTTTGTTGCCATCCCTAGTTGAATTAGCCTTTCCGTCAATGACTATTTGAAATATGTCTATAATCAATCTGTTAGATCAAGTTCATCGCGCGAAAATAAAATTTCGGTGTCATAAGAGTTTATTCTGAACCATTTCTTTCAAGTCAATCAAAAATTATACAAAATTCTTGTCCAATTAGCTCTAGTGATAGTTTTACATCTCCTCTGAAACTGTCTCGAGTCGTACGTATTAGATCATTAGCGTTTACTCTAGATAACCTGACTAAATGAATGGATGGATGAATGGTTTGCTAATAATCCATTACCCACATATAGCATTCCGATAAATGTTATTCATATCTTATCCTAAACTATGTACTGTGGAATAGGGTTGGCGGTTCGGTTCGGGTTCGGGTAACCGAACCCAAACCCAAAAAACCAAAAACCGTTATCTTTTTGAAAACCAAATACGAAATTGACTAGAGAGTTTTCGGTCCGAAAATACAAGCGTTTATGTTTTTAGCTATACCCGAAACCGAACCAAAAAATAGAAACCAAAATCGAAAACCCGGTAATACATGTTATTGGTTCGAGTTCGGTTAAAACCGAAAACCCGAACACAAATTGTCACCCCTAAGTGTGTGTAATAGAAGGGGAAGAAATCAAAATGAAAAACCAGAGAAAGGGAGAGGTATGCATGCTGCTGTGGACCACTTAGAGTGATGATGCAAAGTGTAAGTGGGTTTCAAAGTGTGGAATAGCCAATGAGAAGCTAACATATCTTCGGTTTGAATATGGTACAAATTACATTTGAAGATCACCATTAAACTAGATTAACGATCATGATCATCCATCAGTTTAGAGTATATTCTTTATTTGCGCTTGGTGTACCAAAGACCCACTACTTAAATGTAAACAATGGGGATTATTAAAAAAACAAACAAATTGTACATAATGGGGGTTACAACTTACAAGAGAGACCACCACACATTTGTATTTGACACGTATGCCTCTCAATCACATATATAATAACAATGTTAATGTTGTTCATCCATGATCCAGATCTACTAAACCTAATCATGTTTTGTTTTCTTATAAAATAATATTTACTCTAAACTGATGTTATATATATTAAGATGTTATATTAGTTGGATTCTACCATTGAGGAACAAAAGGCTTTGGAAAATTAAGGGAAGGAGCTCTTTTGTTTGAATATGCCTTTCCAAGGTGCTAAAGCTGACTGCGAACGCAATACCACCAAAACCATTCCCACTACTACGTACCACTATCTCCATAATACAGCTTCTTCGAACTTTCACTCAAAAGTCAAAACTTGGATCCCTTAACGGTGCAATATTATGCATTATGAGTCGAGGAAAAAGAGAAAAGAATAGAGACGGACGGATGGATTTGATAGTGTCTGCAGTTTTTTTTTTTTATAACGAGGAACACCCTTCACGGTCACCACATTTTGTGGTGCCGTAGTCGGGCTAAACCCCAGGATCTCCGCCGGCGGTGTCCGGGTGATAGCGGGATGCCTCCGGGAACACCATGGTGGCGGTGAGGATCGAACCTGGGACCTTATGGTCACCAATCCTCCTCCCTTACCACCAGGCTATGTAACCTTTGGCGATAGTGTCTGCAGTTATATAATGAAGAGCATCTCCTACCAGTATCACATTATGCATCCATGCAGTCAACGCTCCAAGAACTTCTCGTTCGTTGTTTTATTGTATTTGATGGTCGGACTACTTTAACTCATGAAGAAGTTTATGCAAATAATAAATCAGAGATTATCACAAATTGGAAACATGAAAGTGCTTAAGAAATACACATGTGACCTCTCGAGTTAAATGCCTTTGTACGTAAGAAAACATGGTTAATGTGCAACCAACATACTTAGATGTCAATGCTTTATTACAAGATAGAGAAAGATGAGTACATGAAGAAAAAAAAAGTGTCAATATAGCCTTTGCCCTACTATTCACAAATCGGTTGAACCCCCGTTCATACCTAATTAGATTCTGGTTGGTTAAACAGCTAGATAGATATCAATTCACGTTCTATAACTTGTTGATTAAGCAATTTGAAGCAAGAGAGAGATCGACATGAAAGAACAAAGGAAAGGTGGGTTTGAAAGCGTAGCAGCACATAATGGAAGGAACATAATTGTTGAAAACACAATAACTTGGGCGTATCTGTTGGAAGATATGGGAGATATGTTTGATTGTGACACGTGGGCCATTAACTTATATACTTACTGATTGCTCCATGTAGTGTAAATGGTCAATTATTTCACATTTTCTCTCTCTCTCTCTCTCTCTCTCTCTCTCTCTCTCTCTCTCTCCTTTTTGAGCAACTTCTATGATATGTTATGTGAATGTGGGCTACAACAAGATCGACTTCATCATTCAAATGCATCTTTCACTTCAGTTTGTAGGGATGTGACCAGGTGGGAAACCATCGAATCCAATCAAATCTAAGTGAGTAAGGGTTATATCTGATCAAGGAATAGTTATTTCGGACCACTCAGAGTTAGTGATGGACAGAACTAAAAATAAATTTCGTATTGATCTATAATACAACCTCTTAAATAAAAATCAAATTATTGGTTTGTAGGCTTGATAAATTTTGCACATAATCACTATAATATGTTGTTAAATCATCCATGTAAGTGTTAGAGATTGTGGAGAGTTGAGCACAAGACATCGTAATTAAAGATTCTGGTGTATTTTTAAGAGCCAATTGCTTCAGATAACTCGTGTATGTTATTTGGAAGAGGCATGAAAATGAATCTCATATCGATGTCTAACACTATGAAATAGAGGCTATATCATATCGATATATAATTGGTTTTTGTTCTGATTTTTACATTAAAATTTATTTTATTAAAACTTTGTTGTAACCGTTGGAAAAAATAATAAGTTGTAAACATGTCCAGTTCAAACTCCACCAATCCAAATAAAACGAATGCATTTTTCTGTCAAATAAGATTATATCTATAGATTTCGCTTCTTTTTCAACTTAGCACACAACAAGAAATATGTAGGGTGATTGATTTTCGTATTACGTATAAACACGCTAATCGAATTGATCAGACCTGAGCTTGAGAGAGGAGGACGAGAATTCATTCTCAGGTGTTAGTTAGCATGTATGAGCAATATATGTATTGGGCCACCTCCCAAGTTACGTGGCGATGATGGACTGTCATTTGTTCTAGTTTAGAGGAGATGTTTGCGTGATTGACGTTGAAATCTATAAACAATTTTCTTTTCAAATTATGTCGTCCCACAACCAATACTTTTTGTGTTTTATTGATTACAAAAATTACTGTTTTCTGTTTAGCTTGTGTTGGAATTATTTTTATATACCAATTAATGATGTGTTCCCCCCTCGTTTTTTTAATCTTAATCTCGCTGCTTTTTCTGGGCGGATCTTCCCGAATCTTACTAACTACAACTCTAATGAGAGAGGGAGAGGGTGAAAGGGATTGAAGGTGGCGGAAGAGTTCTTGTTAAGAAGCTAATTAGCTTCACTTTAATCCACTTGCTAATAAACAAATATAGGCTTATTAATTAAACTGATGATGATCAATCAAGTCCTTGTTAAGTGTTTTATTGTTCAAAAGCTCATCATCTCGCAGAAGTCTTCATCACAACCACAAGAAAGACCCACCACTGTTCTCCTCTTTCTCCTCTCTTTCCTCTTTGAAAAACGAGTGCACTTTCTCTGCTAATTCATAATACTTTTTCCATTGGGTTTAGTTGATTTGCAAATTTAGGTGGAGATTATGATAATTTCACACATGCATTATGATCGTCGATGCAGTTATGTTGGCGAGTGAGTGAAGGTATGTAATCTAGCTAATAAATCGGCGTATAAGCAGTAGTATTTCTCGCAA